CGTCTTTCCCGCGAGGAGAACCTGGACAGACATTCGTACTACGAGGGTTGAACGGGGCGAGGGATGGAATCGAAAACCGCGATAGCGTTGGTGGAATCTCTCGTGCATTCTCTTTTCTTATCGGTTCCCCCCCTCCTCCTCATCTTCCTTCGAATTAATCGTCCAAAGCCACGCGATATTTTCCAACCCGTGCTCGCGTATACGTGTCTCTCCGCATCGATGCCCTTTCCGTCGAGACTCCAAGGATCGAGATGCATATCGAGATAAATCTGGACGTATATATGTATATATATTTTTATTCGTTTTAATCCGTGACGTTGGAAACGTGGGATTTGTCGAGATTCGTCGCCACGAGTCGTCGAAAAATAGGGAAGAGTCGACAGGGACATGACGAGCGAGCATAAATCTTCTATTTGAATCTTTGAAAAATGATCCCTCTTCTACCTACTTATCTACGTGTAGATAAGTTTCGACGTTCCTCACCAAGTTTGGGAGGAAGGATATGAGAAACCATCGAGGTTTCGAACGATGTTGCTTCTCAAATTGTTGAACGCTTCTCAAGTCGTTTTTCACGAGTAGAAAGAGAAAATTTTTTGAACATTTTCTTTCTCTTTTTACCAGCGCTAAATCTCGATAAATGAATTTATTCGTAAATAATTCGCACGTTGAACTTGATTTCCAGCCTCCTTTAAATATATATATATGATGAGGTATGAATGAAATTTCAATCCGTCGAATTGATTTTTCGTGCAAAATGAGTTGAATAGTTAAGAAGAGATGCGGTAATATCCGGTTGAAATTTAATCTTCCATCATCGTCGATGCGTAACACCGATGATTCCTATCAGAGGATTATGTTTGGGAAACAGAGGGTTCTCTCCCTCTCTCTGTCATGGTAATTAATATTACACGGGGCGAAGGTCGGTGCTCACAACGATGTCGATAGTTAATTAATTCGATGTGAGACAACAGGTAGCTGTCGCCCGACAAAAAATTGCTGTTCATAAGCGAATTAATTAGCGGCCACGTCGATTAATTTCGTTGGACAGGGGATGGCGCACTCCACGCGCATCCCATCTTTCCAACTTAACACGCATCATCGTGTATAACAATGATAAACGCTCGCCCAAGCGTTTCTCTATCCATCATTCGCGATATAAATATTCTCTCTCTCTCTCTCTCTCCCTTTTCGTTTCGAGCATACTCGACCAGTCTTTTCCAAATTTCTTCGAAGATACTATTACTATTTCGTGATCTCGTCTAATAATTCGCACGATCTATTAATTTTTTCCCTCCAATCGCGGGAGATCAGGGATTCAGCCAGGAAATCTCGGCTTTCCGTTTCAGATCGGAAACTCGAGATCGATCGTGTGCCCAATGACGCGGGATCTTCCGCGTCGATGCTCGCTTCCGGTCCTCCTTCTCCTCCTCCTCCTCCATTATCAGTTTCGATTGTTAATATTTTTTCATCGAATATTTCCTTGTTAATATTAAAATTCTTTTTCAAATCTATCTATCTTTCGCAGTATATAGTCCATTGAAGGATTATTATGTAATCATCGTATCAGTGGTACAATATCTCTTCATCTATTTTTATATCCACTCACTTTTGGCGCTTTGTTATTTCGTTATGTAAGGGATTATTATATTTCAATCCGAGAAAAGAGGGAAGTTGAAATCTGGCGAAGCGTTACAATAAAAACTCTCCGTCAATTCTCCATCGTTGTTATTTCGTCGAATTTTACGCGAATTCCCTTCTGCAGGGCACCCAAATTTTACCCAATTTTTTTTTATAGTCAAATTTTTTACCTTCCTTTCGAGTTGAACGAACAATTTACTCCTCTTCCATCCCTATTTGCCTTGTCTTTCCAAAATTCTACTCTAAATTAATTCCTTTCATTCAAAGAAAGAGTGTTCCAAAATTCCAGAACACGTATTTCATAAAGAAAGAAAGAAATACCTTGATCGAATTATTCTAATTCAAGAGAAGAGATTCGGAGCCCTCTGGCCGGGAACCGTATCGGAATTCGATCCTCCATCTCGTTCCCAATGCATCGAAGAAGTCAAACATTTACAATAGCTCCTAGAATCCTCCCTAAGTTTAGCCATTCGGGCTAAACATTGGCCAATTCGATGCGATGAATTACGAGCGATTACACCGATTCCGGCGCGACGATCCTCTAATTATAGAGCGAAGGAATAGTGGCAAAGCTGCGCTCCTTCCTCCATATTTATATCCATCCAGTGGTATATTTTCGCGGTGGATGAGGGATCGAGTCGAGAGGGCAGGTTCTGCGCGTGGACATCCTCGGTTCCCGGATGTTTGCGCGGTCGAAACCTCTGAAGAGCAGCTGCGAAACGTCAGAAACTTGTCCTCGAAATGCGTACGAAAGGAGAGAGAGAGAAAGAGAGATCTTTTACCTCCTCGAGGCAAGGCAACGGTTGTCTGGGAAAATATATCGTCGTGACGTTTGGATTTGTTGCAAGGCGTTTGGTGGTGAAATGTTTGAGTAGAGGAGGATCGTGGTGGGTCGTTTGGAATTTTGAAAGGATCGAGGATTGGAAGAATTTTGGAGGTTGTGGAAGGTGTTGAGGGGCTGTAAAGGGAGTGGTCGTTTAACTGATGGTTGACAGATTCGATGTTGAAATTTCGAAGTGATAAGCAAAGAGGCGTTCGACGATCGTAGGGCAAGGACGATGATGGAATTTTATAAATATGGAAGTCGAGGATATTACAGATAGGGAAATGGTGATATTATACGTAATTTAATCTTCGATAGATTTGACAAAAATTTTCACAGAATGGCATCGAAATTCGTGAAATTACGATCACGATGGCCGCACAGTGTCTCGAATGAATAAAGATTGAAATTGGAAGTCGTGAAACAGAGTTCTAAAATCTTCACAGTTGACGAGACGAATTATATCGGAGATAGAATAACGATATTCGCGTGATCGTAATTCAACTCGTTTGACGGTTATCATGAAAAATGTCGAGTGATCGATAAAATGTGGCGCGCGATAACCGATTTTATACACAGGGAGCGTACATCGCAACTATCGACGAAACTATTGCCACGGAATTAAAGATAATTTAACGAACACGAAACCGGTTGAAGGGATTTATCGCGGAGTCATAATCGCGAGTTCGCGTAATGGATCTCCACTTATCACGTGCAGCTTCGTAACAGTTTAGCTGCTTCGTAATTCAACGATCGTTGATATTGTTATTGTTGCCGTTTAAGGACACAATATTTCGTAGAAGAATTTTCGCGAGATCCACGAAACTCGATAAGCTTGAGGGAACTTTTTGTATTACCATAAGAACTTGATTCAATCTAATAAAGTTTTATCCGAAATGAGGAAGAAAAAAATAATTTTTAATTAAACGAGAACCGTAATTATCTGAATTCGATGGAAAATAATAATTTGTTCATTTCCCTTGGTCGAGATCTCGTCGTTACGACCGCTCGTTTTTGGTCCTTGGTTACCACACACAAGTTTCCACTACGAGGCTTGCTCGTAGTAGATAAAAGACGTCCTCGTTGCAAGAGGAGTCTCTTGATGATTCATTAATGATTCACCGAAGGTACGAGATGTCGTTCAACTCTTACGTTCTTTGTTCCGCTTCGCAACTCAGGCAAGCTGTGTATATTGCGAATGATACTAGTTGGCTGGTTGCTCGAGATAATAACGTTTGCCCGGTGAATCATGTTGAACGCTGGTTTTCGCGCGTGCAAAAAAAAAAAAAAAAGAGAAAAGAAAAGAAAAGAAAAGAGTTCGTTGGAAAAATGTTTGCGCGATAAAAATCGCGATGAAAATAAATTTATCCGACCAACGAACAGTTATTTTGCCACGCGTGAAATACCGGGCCATCTTGAAACTTTCAACGTTTTTAACGATATACAAAAGAGAAAAAGAGAAATCATCGATTCCAGTGATACAACAATGGTGTTTAATCAAAATCCCTATATCATCATATTTTCTCTACGTCGATAAACGATTAAAGCGAATAAGACTTCTTAAAAATCTTGTTGGAAATCAAGATTGCGAAACACATTGTTCCATTGGCGATTATCAATACGGATTATCTCGTCGAATTACTCAACTGAGATAGATGTAAATTTGAGAGTAGAAATGGGACAAGGATCGAGGAAAGAGGCGATTTTCATCGGTTCATTTCGGTTTGCTTCCCCGAAAAAGTGTGGAAAAGTTCTCGCTAAGTTTGAAATGGCTGGTTTGAACAAGGTATCGCGCGATGTCTCCTGTGCAGGAAGCGAAAAATCCAACGGCCGGGGCATAATCGTTGCGGAAATGGGCGTGGACGCGTTTAAAGCTTGGGATCGCCGTCTTCTCGTATTTGAATGGCGGTGCGCACGGTAAATTTCCTCCTGCAAAAATCCTCGCTAAAAGCTTAATTGACCGAGCGTCGGCGCGAAACGGGAGAGATCGCCTCGGGGAAAGAAAAAGAGGAGAGAAAAAAGAAAGAAAGAAAGAAAGAAAGAAAGAAAACAGGCGAGCACGATGCATTGTCGTTGTTGAGATCTAATGCGCCTCTTCTAAGGCGCGAATTCGCCCGATTTTCTTCGAAACGAGCCAGTCTGATGATGATTACGCGGTGTTTCAATTTCTTGTCTCTAAACTTATCGTTTGACCTGGAAAGATTGAACACTCCTGAACTCCCTTCAACTGTTGTTCTGACAGCTTCGAACAAGAGGGGAGGGAGGAGGGATCGAGCCTCTCAGCCCTTTCACCACCCTCGATTATTTGGTCCCTTTCCAAAACTCGGAGGGAAACTAGGTTGACCGTGAAGATGACCGTTGTTTGTCGATTTTATTTTGGCAACATCTAAATATTTCCCTTCGCCGATTTCCGTTCTTTTTTTCCTTTTTTTTTTTTTTTTTTTTACAAATGGAGGCGAGTTGTCGACGAAATTGTCGAGACGGGTTTCGATAAATACGATTTTCTTAACATTTGCCCTTTCCCCGTTTTTTCTTCCAGAAAGCAAGATTGGCACGGATCAGGATCGCGAAAGCGTCGAGCGGGGCGGCCTTCGTGAGCAAAAAGAAGGCGGCCGAGGCGCGTTTGGCCGCGCAGGAGAGCGGCCTTCAGCTGGACGACAATTACAAGGAGGAGGATATCTTCGAACTGCAGCATCATCATCTACTTCGTTGTTTAGAGAAGACCACGGTAAGATCCTTGACGATTCTTTTCTTCCTCTTATCCCTCGTATCCTCCTCGATTATATAATAATATTTCGAGCAAATAAATTTGAAATATGGTTGTTGACAAATCACCGGCAATAAAGTAAATCGATTTTCGCGGGAAGAAGAGAAGCTCGATTAAAACTCGATTAAAGCCTCCTTTACCTTCGCACAAAGCGCTCGGTTTCTCCGAGTGTCGAGTTCATAACTCTTTCGAAATAACCCGTGGACGCGTTAGGGAGAGGGAGGGGGGGAGAAAAGAAGCGGCTTGGATTGGAAATATCCCCGGTTTTGAGAGGGGAAAGAGGCTTCTCCTCCATTGACGCGAGAGGATTCGCGCTTCATTAAACCTCGGCCACGGGACGGGGCTCCGTTTAATTTCGCGGAATCAATGCTCGAAATGTCGCGCGCACGTTTATCCCGTGCACGCTGAGTTTCACTCTCCTGCCTTGCGAACCAACGGCCGCCTGTTACGAATCCAAGAGTCGAAGCGGTGCTGAGTAATTTGAATAAACCCTCCCCTCTGTCCGCGTCCAATTTTAGCGCGCCACTTGTGCGCGAGGGCCACCCACTCGTGCGCGTGTGTGTGTGGCGCCCGACTCACACTGGTGAATATAAACGGAGAGAATAACTCGTGTGTATAACACGAGTTGGATGGTACGTATGTATATCCTTGTTATTGTGTTATTGTGTTTGTGAAGATGAGATAGTGTATATATATATATATATATATATTAAATTATGGAATATTATTTTGTATCATTAATTTTAGGTACGAGAGTTTATCCAGTTTTGCTTCCAGTAGGTTGAATTTTTCAAATTGTAATTATGCAATTAGTAGGATCGATAGGTTAGTATCAACAATAATTTCATTTGGAGTTAATTAATCGAAAGTTTTATTTTTTCCTTTTTGTAGAATTTTATAATTATCGAAGTAATATTAAATTTGTAATTTTAATTTATCCTTTGTTCTTGATATTTTTTTTAAGCATTTTTTGATAAGGATATATATATAGGGGTAAATTAGTCTTCTTCTCTGTCTCGTTGCGTTGGTAAAAAAAGTGTCTGGTACGATAGCTTGCGAAATTGGAAATTGATTCTAAGTCGAAAAATTCTGAAATCGAGAATTAATGTTTCGGCACGATGTTATTCAGATAATTAATTGATATATATCGTTGCTCGATTTTTTGAATATTCTTGTCAAAATCGACGAAGTTGGAATAATATATATTTCGTAAATCTTAGAAATCGAAGTTTCATCGAAGACAAGATTTTAAATTAATAAAATGATAATTAACGGAAATTACTTTTAATAAATATTCTTTCGATTGATCTTACGCAAGACGTACGAAGACTATTATGATTGATTGTAACGTTTGATTAGATGGTGATAAATTTGACCGATAATTGCATCGACAATTTCTATTACCATTACTTTCGGTCGATTTCGAAGAGGTATCTGCGATAGACGCCTCGTAACTCCGATCCTCTAAATTTTAATTTACGTAATATTTTCCCGACGCATTTCATATTCACCTATCGATCGATACATTTTCAATTGTCTTATTCGATCGTTTATTCGAGCGTTTATTCTATACGTTTTCCGTAGTCTCGATTGACTTTAACTCGGCAAAAATCGGTATCCGTTAACAGGAGTGTTGTTCCACGTTGGAACCCGAAATCGAAAACGTGATAAATAGGTCAGTTCTGCAAATCGGAACCCTGTCTCGGTGCCCACTCGAGCCTGAATTTCCACGGAAATTGTGTTAATTGCAAGGTCCGCTCGGGTTATCCGTACATAGGGAGGATGCACATTTTACAAGATGAAGAGGAAATGCATTTCAACGATCCCTTCGATCCTATTATTTTCCTTCCCCCCAACCGATCCATCAACCATTCTCTAATTCGATAACCCCGTATTTCCTTCGAAACCATTTCGACGAGACTTTCACGTGTCCATTTTTGGATTTCTTGATAATAAATAATATTTAAGATATTCCAAAAAAAAAAAAAAAAGATTTTACACAGACATTATCAATTGAATTGATATATTTCAAAAATCGTGAATACGTACGCGATCCAAATTTCTTTATTGCCACTCATCCTTCCATTCTTATTGAAAATAAAAAAAAATAAAATAAAATAATTTGATCAACTAGTAAGAAATCGCGAGAGAGATTTTAAAAAGGAACAATTTAGAATAATCGTTATCACGTTATCCTATCCCCTTAGTTTCGATCAATTTCCAAATTTCGAATTGGCTGAAATTCGTTCTCGATTACACTTTTCACCCGATAGTCTTCGACTTCCGGGTGGAATGTAGCAGTCTTTCCCTCTCCTCCCCCCTATGGATATACTTAACCCAGAAAGCAGCGCGATTCCGGTCGCCTTTGTCGACTCGCGAAGAAAATCGTGCATACGGCCCGGGGCGGCGTCGTTCCACTTCCTGCTCCGTCCTCTGTCGTCTTTCCAAACGTCTTCTTTTCCCCACGTCTACGTGCCGCGATCTCCACTTCCTGCCGGCGTTTAGCCGCCTTTTCAACCATTTTCCCTCCGATCCTTCTCCCCCCCTCCTCGAACAGAAACCTGAAAATTTCGCAGAGCGAATCAAACGATCCTCAACCTCTTCTCACAACTCTCTCGAGAATTTGAAACGTGCCGCAAAATTTCCTCGTGTCGCATCCTTTCACGCCCTATTTAAATTCCTCCTCCTGTTTCCGGATCAATCCGCTCGAAACGGATCCCATGCTTCGAGATCGCACAGAGTCTCGATGGGAACGATTAACGAGAACCAGGGTCAATATTTAACCTTTTTTGACAGAGAGAGAGAGAGAGAGAGAGAGAGAGAGAGAGAGAGAGAGTTCAGTGTTTCTTCAATCCTCCTCGAATTTTTCCAAATGGGGAGATTTCTCTTAAGGAGATCTTCTTCTCGTCTAACGTTATTTCTCTTCTGCTCGTGTCTCCATAATTGGCAACCGATACATTTCCATGGGATCTCTCCGACGCCGGATCATTTTCCCACTCGAAAATATCTTCCCTCGAAGAGGGAATCTCTTCTATCCACGATACGCCCTTATTAATAATATCAAGATAACAAGAATCCATCCAATGCGATCCACCAAATCGATCCAATCGTGATGTTGACGTTGTCAAAGCCCATTCCCTTGAAAAATATCATCGAAATTCTCGAGCATAATTCTCCTCGTTGAATGAAAGAAACGAAAATTGCAAGAAAACATTGTTATAGAATTTCAAGTTCAGTGAAATTTTATATGCGGTTTTATTATTGAACGTTGCCAACAACATCACTATTTCATAGTTGATACCTATTTGTTTTTCTTCGATATATATATACTTCAAATGATTTATGAACAGATACGCGCAATTACGCGTTAATTAAATATATTTATTCAGCTAAACCACATATTTATTTTACATTTTTATTTATTATTTTCACTGCCCAGAAACGAAACTACGAAAGCTCGAGGATCGAGACGTATATCGCCCCTTCTAATAAAGACAGTTTATTTTTTTTTTTTAACGCGTTGGAGAACTCTTTGTTCTCCCTTCACCCCGATGAATCGCTCCTCTACGTCTCTCACGGCCGAGAAGAAGAAATCTTTCCTCCCCCGACGAAAGAGAATTGTCAAAGAATCCAAGAGGAGGAAACAACCCTCGTCGAAAACTCTTACAAAAACAATATCGATCATTACGAGCCCCTGTTCGATCCAATTCCTGTAATTGTACAGGATATTATATCTTATATATTACAATTCCTGCAATATTCGTGAGAAGGGGAACGGCAGGTAGGGATCGAGCATTCGACGGGTGATCGCGACGACTGGAGAAGGAATCGAAGCAGGGGGAGGGAAACGATCTCGGGTCGGAGATCTTTGGAGGCGGTTGGCGCGCGTTGCGCGGGCATCAGACGCGGCCAATCGGTGTCGCCGTGTCGGCGTATTGATTTGTTCCGGGTCGTGGCCGGCCTCGATCGAATCTCTTCGGGAATCGAAGTCGTCTCGGGCGAGACGTCATCCCGCCGGGGACTAATTATAGCCGGGGAAAACGGCGTTGAAGGGATCCAACAATAGCGTCGGATTTTCCCACTCGCCTCGCGGTAACGCGCAAGGTAAACGAGTTCTGGACGAGGAGAAAATGTATTTTTCTCGTGGTCATGACTGGTCGCGTTGGCGCGAAAATTTCTTTTCCTTCCTCGAGGAGGGAGGAAGTCGCCGCGTTCGCGTTTATCAGCGAAAGAAAATTGAGAAAATGGTGGACGAAATTGAACGTGGTGATCGATCCGTTTAGTCGCAGGGACTGACTCGGATAATTTTAAAAATTTAGTCGCATCGTATATTAGACGCAACGCCGGATATCCGCCACGAATAGTCTTCTCCTTTCCAAACGCGTTTCCTTGTAGCAATTTCAATCCTCCTTCGAAAATAATCCCTTCTCTTCCAAGAATCTTTTGGAATATTGGAATGGAATAATCATTTCCAGAAGGGAGGAAATGACGACACTTGAGGGAAAAAAACTCTTCGACTCTCCAACTTTCTTTCCCTTCCACGTTTGGCAACCGACCAACCCCTCCCCTTCCTGTCCATCTTCAATTACGAAATATTCGTCCGATTATTCGAACCTAATTTATCTCTCTAGAAACTGGATTCTATTCCTGTAAACTAAACTAAAACCTTCCCTCCCTCGACGAGGTCGGGACGGATGAAATTTCATTTCGAAATATTTGGAGGATTTTGCCAGGATTATTTGTAAGAAGTGTCTCTCTCTGTCTCTCTCGAAGTCGCCTTTTTCGCGGATCGATCATCCGGAATTGTTGTCGTGGTTAAGGGCGATTTCAAGTTTGATCCAACGTTGAGATAGGATGGGAAGGCTCGAGAATAGGTAGGGGACATTCATAAAATGGCGGGACAAGCGCGCGCGACCGTAGAGCAGCAGCGGCGGGGTCAGGTCGTGGCGGCGAGTTATTTA